CACTGTAAATGCTGTGTGAGTTCAAGGCAGTGAGGGTGGATTATTAGGGAAAGCTGGCCAGAGGAAACAAGGTTTCAGGTGTGTCTTATAATATGTGTAGGATTGAGTAGAGGAGAAAGAAATGCTTTTCTTGGGGAGGGAAAGAGGGCACTGGCAAGACTCAGGAACAGGTACATGCCTGATATTTCTATGGTTGAGAGGGAAGCAGCCCTATTGGAGCAGAGTTGCAGGTAAAGGAGCTGAACAGGTAAGTCATACCCAGGCACTAAAGGTCCTGAGTGCCATCAGTGTGGTGTAGAGCTTATGGAGGGGGGAGCATCTTTGAAGCCATGTCAGTCAAAATCAGTGTGAACATATGACCCAGGACCTGAAATTATCCAATTAAGGAAAATTAAATGGAAGCTATTTGATCTGGACTAGGTAGATAGCAATGAAAATCTAGAAGGGCATGTTAAAAATTTTTTTTTTTTGTCCAATATAAGTCATGCATGCATTATTGTTAATGCATGTTTAATCAGTACAATATTAAAGAGTGTAAAGAAGAACACTTTGAAATACTTATAACCCCATAGTATACACTTTCAACACTGGTGCATTTCTTCCAGTCTTTTTTTTTCACATATATATATATATACAATATGCATACACATATACACACAAGTGAGATCTTAAGCTCACATGATTTTGTATCCTGTTTCTCCTAACTCACAACATACTATAAGCATAACATATCAAAGACTTACTTAGAAGAAATGAAATAAGACACTTGTAGACAGACTAATCCAGACCTGATTAGCACAGAGTATAAAAAGTCCCTCAATAGGAATAAAGGTTGTGAGAAGAGGAGTGGATTTTCAGAGAAAGATGATGGGTTAAATTTACAATGCCAGTGTACTTTGTACATTGAAACAACCAAATGGAGATACTGGAATGAAATTCAATTGGAAGGTGAGACCTCCTGTCCAAATTCTATTCAAGAGATAAGGATTTTGGAGTCATTGCAAAGAGTAGAGAGTTGAGCCCAAGAGAGGAGCCTTACTCAGGAATGTATAAAAAGAAATCAGGGCGACAAAGAGAAGGCTTAAGGGTACACTCAGGTATCAGGAAGGTATTCTTGAAGGAAAAGCAAAATAATAGGAAAGACGAAAAAATAGCCAACCCAATATTCCTTTCTTCAAATAAAAATTTGTTGGTGGTTGTTGTTAGATACTGTCGAGTCCTGTCTGACTCACAATGACCCTATCTATGCCCAGCAGAATGAAACACCGCCCAGTCCGGCGCCAGCTCCATGATCCCTGTTATACTTGAGCCCATCATCGCAGCCACTGTGTCAATCCATCTCTTTGAGGGCCTTCCCCTCTTTCATCAACCCTCCACCTTACCAAACATGACATCCTTCTCCAGAGAATGGTCCCTCTGACAACATGACCAAAGTAGGTGAGATGCAGTCTGGCCATTCTCGCTTCCAAGGAGCATTCTGGCTGCACTTCCTCCAGGACAGATCTGTTAGTTCTTGTAGCAGTCCACGGTACTTTCAGCATTCTTTGCCAGCACCACAACTCAAAACCATCAGTTCTTCTTCGGTCTTCCTTATCTAGTTCTCACATGTTTGTTTAGTGCACATATATTCATTGAAGACAAATACAGATACTCCTCAGACATAACCAAACACCTTCCAATATTGGTTTTCTGGTTTTGAAGGCTTAGGACCATAGTCTCATGGGACAACTCAGTTAATTAGCACAACGTGTTGTTGTTATGTGCTGTCAAGTCAGACCTGACTCATAGCGACCCCTCTTTGGGTTCTGAGGTGGTATCACTATGGAAGTAGATTGCCCAACCTTCCTTTCGATGAGTGACTGGTGGGTTTGAACCGCCACCCTTCTGGTTAGCAGTCAAGTGCCTTAGGCACTACGTTAGGACAACGTAGATTGCAAAAATCATGATCTGTGTCCTAGAGAAGTGAGTAGCATCTGGGATCTTAAAAGCTTGCAAGCGGCCATCTAAGCATCTAACTTGAGACCTAGGTCTCAATTCACCAGAAGCAAAACAGCAAAAAGGTAACCAAAAGTGCAGAGAAGAAACAAGAAACAAGTCTATAACAACCACAACCGCATCTACTCTGAGATCAGAAGAATTAGATGGTGTCTGGCTACTGCCATGGACCGTTCTGATCAGGTCCACAATGGTCCCAGATAGAATGGGACAAGAATATGGAGGAGAACTCAAATTAAAAAAAAATCCAGCAAAACTGGAAAAGTAGAGAACAGAAGACCCCTGGGACTACTGCCCTGAGATATTCTTTCAACCTAGAACTGAGCCTATTCCCTGAGACCACCTTCTAGCAAAATAGCCAAGTGAGACACAAAATGAAGGATATTACCTGTAACATCAATGCCCTACTTAAAAACCATTAGTATGAGATCGAAAGGTCAACAACTTCTTAAAAGCAAAGATGAGATGATAAGGGAGCAGGTAAACGACAGCACTGGAAAAGTAACAGAAAACAGAATATTGACACCTTGTGATAAATGTAACTAATGTCACGGAACAACTTATGTGGAAACTGTCAGATGAGAAACTAACTTGCTGTGTAAAATTTCCTCAAAAACTCAATAAAATGTTATTTAAAAAAAATTAGTTACCAACTACTGTGTGCCAGGTAGGAGACCTGGTGGCTTAGTGGTTAGAGTGCTCTGATACTCACATTACAGTCTTGGAAATCCTATGTGATAGTTCTACTCTGTCCTATAGTGTAGCTGTGAGTTGGAATCAATTCGACAGCATTGGAGTGGTAAGTGTGCCAATATTATGCCAGCTGCTGGGGATGTAAGGAAAAAAAAGCTCAAGGAGTTTACCCATTCAAAACTCATTGCTGCTGAGTCTATTCCAACTCACACCAACCCTATAGGACAGAGTAGAACTACCTCATAAGGTTTCTGAGGCTGTAATCTTTATGGGCTAGCTGAAAGTATAGAGAGAACTTGAAGCACTTACTGATATGAAGGTCAAAGACTGCAAGCCTTCAGTATGGATCACACCTCAACATTTAAAAAGAAAAAAAAAAAAAGGAAAGGAATCCTCACAACTGGACCAATAAGTAACATCACGATAAACATAGAGAAGATTGAAGTTCCAAAATCCACAATCAACAGCCATGGAAGCAGTCAAGAAATCAAATGACATATTGCACTGGGCAAATCTGCTACAAAAGATTAGCTTTAAAGTCTTAAAAACCAAAGATGTCACTTTGAAGACTAAGGTGTATGCCTGACCCAAGCCATGGTATTTTCAAATCCCTCATATGCACATGAAAACTGTCCAGTGAACAAGGAAGACCAAAGAAGAACTGATGCCTTTGAATTATGGTGTGAGTGAATAATATTGAATATACCATGGACTGCCAGAAGAAAGAACAAATCTGTTTTGGAAGAAGTACAGCCAAAATGCTCCTTTCAAGGGAAGATGGTGAGACTTTGTCTTATGAACTTTGGGCATGTTGTCAAGAGGGATTAGTCCCTGGAGAAGGATATCATGCTTTTCTCTTCATCAGCAAAAAAGAGGAAAAACCTCAACAAGATGGATTGACACAGTGCTACAGCAATGAGCTCAAACATAACAATTGTGAGGATGGCACTGGACCAGGCAGTGTTTCTTTCTGTTGTATGGAGGGTTACTGTGAGCTGGAACTGACTCAACAGCATGATAGCACCTAAAAACAACAATCTGGAGGAAGCAGATTGCCACATCTTTCTCCTGCAGAGCAGCTGGTAGATTGGAACAATTGACTGGTTCTAAAACTAGTCATTCTGAAGTGTATGTGGGATGTGCATTATTATCAATATTTTGAGCTTTTTTAGTGTCATGGCTGTGCAACTTTCACTGACTACTTTTGGCATTCATTATTGATTCTTGCCTAAATAAATCATTACTACTGAAAAAAAAAATCAAACCCACTGCCATTGAGTCAATTCCCACTCATAGCGACCCCAGTTGGGTTTCTGAGGTGGTAGGTACATCTTTACAGAAGTGGATTGTCCGGTTTTCCTTCTGAAGAGTGGTTGGTGGGTTTGAACCACCAACCTTCTGGTTAGCAGTCAAATGCCTTAGGTACTGTACCACCAGAACTCATTACTACACTGGTTGCTAAATGATAGTTTTCTTTGTCATTCCTTCTACATCGATTGGTTAGCATTCTGCTGTAAGGAGGAGCTTTGTCTCTCATTGTTTAATCAGTATGGACTCATGGCTTTTTATTTCACCCGATGGGTTATTTTCTATTACCACTGTTACTGTTTCTTTCAATGTTCAAAATGTACCACATGTGGCCAGTGAGGGTTCCTTCAGATTGGCTTTGATGTGTCCCCATAGTTCTTTGAACACTTTAACACATGATATTCCAGGCTCACTTGATATTTTTCCTGCCCTAACCCTGGAATCAGCTATTTTTCCAAGGAGTCCCAGTTCCTTTCAGTGTAGTATGGTATTTAAAAACCAAAATCTCGGTGTTCATTCTCACTGGTATGCCATTGTCTCTAGGGTGCTTTAGTGGACAAAGCCAGGAAAAACACAAAATAGCTATAAAGAACCTTATTGGGATAATTCACAAAATTAGAATCTGGATGGTGGACTTGAGTATTAAATCAATGTTACCATGAAATTTATTGATGCTGATAATAGTATCATAGGTATGTAAGAGAATGTCCTTGTTCTTAGGAAATATGCACTGAAGTATTAAGGACGGAGGGGTAAAATGCTTATGGCTTTCAGAGTGTGTGTGGCAGGGAACTCAGGGCCACTATGAACCCCATGGTCCTCACCACTTTACCTACACAGGTGAAGATTTCTCTGTTCACTGAACCAAACAAGTTGAGAATTAGAGCTATGGAGCCCAACAGAGTTCATAATATTTTCATGAAGCCCCCCTGATATAAGTGAATCCTAGTGACTTGACACCTGAGATCCACGTTTTATGGGGAAAGAGTAGTATATGCACCTACCGCCAGTGTTCTGCTTGACAGTCTGATCCTTCACAAAGGCCACATCTCCCTTCTCAACCAGACATCTGCAGAGTTCCAGGCAGGGGAGAGAGAAGAGAGTGGGTCAGAGTGGCACATCTGTCATTCAGAAGGGCTACCCTGTAGATTCAGAGCTGGCCATTTGATGTCAGCAATGATCACTTCCATTCTATCACTGAGCAATGGAAGGAAAAAAGAAAGAGAAAACAAAAGGCTCCTCCTATGTGTAGTTATATAATCTCAGCTCTACATAGTAAATCCTAAGTTTTGGCATAGTCTTTTTCAACAGAGAGGCATCATTTTCTTAGCATCAAAACAGATAGTAGAGGGTCAGTTTTCCAGCCAGGTGATACCTCATCCCAGTATATGAAATGTGAGTAAGAAATTCATTTCTATTGGATTCTTACAAGATGGGTATGTCTATGCAGCATTCATGAGATATGGAAATGTCATCACAAATTTCAGTTTGTGACATTCTTCATCTCTTTGAAAAAGAATTCTGAACATTCATGGAGCATTTGGTGTTTGGAGAATGCAATGTGCAAAACCTGGTATAATGCTACTTGATTCTATTAACTGACACTCCACACATCTCTGGTGTGGTGATTGGACTGTACACGTACATCTGAGAGGCACTGCAAGGCCCAACAGATTTTCTGAACAAAGAAACAATAACAAGATAGACACTGTTTGGTATCATTTTAGTATTACTTACTACTGTATTCCAATCCTGTAAAAATGGATGGGAAGCACTGTGTATATTTAAATGTCTACACAAGCCCTGCTGCTCAATCTGGCTGGATCAGACCTTTTGTACACAAGCCCCAATCCTGTTCTCAGTCTATTTTGACCCCCTCTCTTCAGGAAAAGGACCTTCCTCTTCCTGTAACTGGTTTTGAGGATAACTAGCTGAGAAAGAAAATCCCTGGGTGGTATAAATGGTTAACATGCTCAGCTGCTAACCCAAAGGTTGGAGGTTTGAATCCACCTGGAGGTGCCTCAGAAGAAAGGCCTGGCAATCCACATCCAAAAAATCAGCCACCATGGGCTTGGGTCACTACAAGTTGAATCAACTCAATGGCAGTGAGTTTCTTTTTCTTTTTCTTTTTTAACACATGAAATGCTAAAGGGCTAGGAATATAAGAATCTCACCCTCGGTTCTTTAAAAAGAAATCTGATCAGTTTCTGAGGCAGTCTCTCTGTGGAAGTAGATTGCCCCATCTTCCTTCTGTGGAGTGGCTGGTGGGTATGAACCACCAGCCTTCTGGTTAGCAGTCAAATGCCTTAGGCATTATGTCACCAGACCTCCCTGATCAAAGATAGGGCCTTATATTCATGTCAGAATTATGAGACTCACTTGAAAGCCCCAGTGTAGCCATAGTATTTCTCCTTGTTGTTGGGAGCACACTGGTTGGGTTGTGGGCCAGCACACAGAGCACAGAGCTTGGAATCATGTTTAGACCCAGGAGCACAGCTTTCACTGAAAAACTGATCTGTACAGAAAGACAACAGGAATTCAGCTCTTCCTACCTGAATCAATTTGAGCATCCTCTACCTAGTACACAGCAGGGCTGTAGGGGCCAGGAGAGGTAGAATGTGTATTCATTCTGTGACCTGCTACCACCAACTTAGGACTTGCCAGGCTATGAGCATTGAAAGGAAACCTAATTGAGGCTGTGAAGAGGAGTCACTGGCTATTATAATTCAGGGTGGAAAGGATTCCTTGAATACACTGATGGTGTCACAGAAATGACATAAAAGGGACAAAAAACAAAGGCATTACTCCCTGAGATTGTACCATCTGAGTTCAGATGTCTCCTTCCCCTGCCATTCATTAGAAGAGCCATGACTAGGACTCCAAGCTTGGGAAAGTTTTCCTTGCAATTCAGCTGCTTTTCCAAGGTTGTAAAACAGGAGGCTCAGGAGAGCAGAGGTAGTGCCCCCTGCTGGTGAGGAGCCAGAGCTTTCTGAATGTCCACCCAGACACATTGCATCCTCTCCAACTGGTGTCACAGAACCAGAATATAGTTTTGCTCCAAAATCAATATCCTGGGCAGAGATGCTCTCTGTCTCCAAATCCCCATTCTCATGGGGCTTGACTCATAACAGGTTTTAGAGGTCTCTCTCCCTTTTAAGGAGTTGCCCAAATTTGGAGATTGGAGAGAGAGGAACTTCTCAGGAAACTAATGTAATTCAGAACCACTGGAAAATATTTATCTGTAGCAAACTTAATACCTAGAACTTGTAGGGGGTAGAAATAAGGTCATACCTGAAGATATACTCAGATATAACAGAGAATAAATTGATTTCCAACCTTGGAAGGGATATCTGATCTGGGCAATGACTTGGTGAGACTGCAAAGGAGAGACCCTTAAAGAGACCCGAGGATCACACAAATGATGTCACAGGGATTACTAGCTAATATGCATTTCCTCTTTTTCCTTATTTGGGGCAGAAACATAGCAAAATAAAAGACTTCATTTCTCAGCTTCTTTTACAATGAAGTGTGGCTATGTACCTAAGTTCTGGGTAATGACAAGTTATTTGAGGTAAATTTGATTACTTCCTGATAATCTCCTTTAAAAAGGTGACAGTAGCTGGTGTATACATTTTTGCCCTTAACCCTTGGTACTTGGGGCTTCCTGGGACACAGATGTGATGAACTATCATGCAACTTGATGATGGAAGGCTCTGGCCAAGAATGGTGGAGTAGGAAAAGAGGAATCTGGGTTTCTTATGACCATACCAGCCCTGCACTGCCCACCTCTGGTCTTTTTTATCAGAGATGAGAGTAAATGTGTATGCATTTAAGCCATTATGTGTAACCAGAATGAATCATCCTGAATCAGCTCTCCAGAATTCTCATCCTGTTTTGATATTTCATTGAGGTTCCGTTTTACCTCATCTTTACTTCAGGGCCCACACCATGTTGTATTATACTTCTCTCCTGACATTATCTCTCTTATCAATGGCCCTGACCACAGCTCCCTCCCAGTCTTCTCTTACCAAATGCACAGGATTTGGTCTTATTGTAGATCAGGCCCATAGGAATGTTCCAGCCGGCAGTCCTGCTCACGCCAGTATGGCAGGACTTCTTGCCTCTCAGAGTGTCCCAGTTGATACCAGGATTTGATGTCTTAACTACTGCCACAGCAAGATACCCTTGCAAGGAAGAAGACATAAAAGAAGCATTAATATCTCTGGGACCTCCAGAGTGTCTGTCTCCAAGTAAAGCCTGTCACCTCCTTTGAGAGGCAAAGACATCCTGAATTCTGTGTTCTGTCTTTGAGGGGATCCTCCCAATAACTGGCTGAGGCCAGGTAAAAAGCAGAGAGACAGCTGCTCTACTCTGTCAGAGGAAATTTATCTAATTTAAAAAAAAAAAAAAACTAAGAAGAAGGAAAAATTATCATTAGAGCAATTGCTCCTGTAGCTCTGGTGGTGTAGTGCATAAGGCATTTGACTGCTAACCAGAAGGCTGGAGGTTCAAACCCACCAGCCACTCCTCAGAAGGAAGGTTGGGCAATCTACTTCCGTAGTGATACCACCTCAGAAACCCAAGGAGGGGTTGCTATGAGTTGGATGAGACTCAACAGCAGGGAGTTTGGTTTTTGTTTTTTCTAATGCATAAAGCCACTGATTTTTATAAACTAGCAATTCACCTTCCAACGTGGATTATCAGAAGAATAGATACTGAACAGTGAGTGTAACCTCAACATTTTATAAGTTAACATATATTGAGATAGAGTAGTCTAAAAAAGAAAAAAAAAAATAGACCAATAAACTATAGGAAATAGGAAGCTCAGACATTTTCTGACAAGGAGTATATAGTTTTGCTCCAAAATCAATATGCAAAGTGGAAAATGTCAAAATCAAGCCAGCTGCCATCTTCAGCAGCAAATATATGCTGGTTCTTAAAACTGGGAATGGGACATCAAACCATGGTTTCACTTTTCCATTTAATTAATTCAGGAAACGGTTTCCAACAGGGGGAAAAAAGAAGAAGAAGCCTTATTATCCATAAGGAGTTCTGGTTGGTGGTGTGGTTAAAGCATTGGTCTGCTAATCAGAAGGTCAGCAGTACAAACCTACCACCTGATCCACAGGAGAAAGATGAGGTAGTCTGCTTCCATAAAGATTTACAGTTTTGGAAACTCTATGGGGCAATTCTACTCTGTCCTATAGGATTGCTTTGAGTTGGAAATAACTTGATGGCACTGGGTTTGGGTTTATTATCCATGGAAGAAGAATAGGCATTTCTGTATTCTGCTAAAGAACATGGCTCCAAGAGTGATGGGGAGACAAGGGGAGAGTTTAATTGGGAGTGGCATGGACAGACTTGAAAGTCATGTGGAACATGGCCTGCTGGGATCTGAGCACAGGGCCTTTGGAGATCAGTACTCACTTTGTTGTAAGACTTCCTGATTTGGACTGCCAACCTCTTCAGATCCACCCCAGCCACAACCCTGGACTAGAGCCAGATTGACTGTAGACATGTGCCTGTGTGAGGCCCTTCCCTCAGTCATGAAAGGCACAAATAAGCAAAGTTCCCTGGCTGGTGCTAAGTCTCATCTAAAAATGTGCAGGTCTTATGTAATGCAAGGCAGGGGGAACATGGAAAGGGCTGGGATTGGCTTCTTGGATATATGATCCTAGACAATTCATAAACAATCCCTAGAGGCCTCTTATGCATCCTTTGAGAATGATAATGCCCACCATATAGCATTAAATGGGAAACCTGTGTGGAAATAATGGCAAGTCTAAAAAAGTAACTATCATTATTAATTACTAACCTCTCGTGATTCCTTTGCATTTAAAAATGGATCTCTTCTGTTGCCTATCTTCCTCTATTTTAATTTTAATTTTATCTTACCCACTTCCCCAACAGTGGGAATTTACCTTTTAACTCCTGGTGTTACTTGTTCCAACTCACCTGGCTCAGGTTCTGTCATACAATTAGGGCCATCTTCTGGAGAAAAGAAAACGAAGATGCTCTTAAGCACACATTTATAGATTGAAAATCATGCCCTTTTCAGGCTGCAACTGAGTGAAAAGAGACAGGAAGAGAACAATCTACCTACCACCAATTCACAATGACTAGGCTCTGGATTCCACCAGGGAAGGAAGATGGGGCAGTCTGCTTCCGTAAAGATTTACAGCCTTGGAAACCCAATGGGGGCCACTATGAGTTGGAATCAACTGGATTGCAGTGAGTTTGGTTTGGTTTGAGGCTCTGGATTATGCATGTTCATTTCAGGTCACCTCTTGAATTTAGCCACGAACTGTGAATTTCAAATTTCCTGCTCTGTCTACCCTGTAGCCACAGGGGGGTGCAGCAAACTGTATCTGAATCCTAGCCTCAGGGTGGTTGGGAAAGTATGAGCTTTGGAAGCAGGAAGACCTGCTGGGAATCCTGGCTGTTCTCTATGTCAGGGTCACATTTAGGGAAGAACTTAACAGCAGAGAGCCCCCCTTCCCCCCTGGTGGAAGGGTACAATAACTTTCATCTCTCAGGATTACTATAAGAATTGGAGAGGTGGAGCCCAGAGCATGCAAAGCACTAAGGTTGCTCACTACAGGAGAATGATCAGGCAGTGGTACGAATTAGGCTGTGATTTTCCCATATCAGCACTCAATGGGCCCGAAGGGAAGAAAACCATAGAGATGCTCCCCTCCACTTACTGTTGTAGTTCTCTGCCAGGACAGGCACCAAACCACACTTGCCCGCCGTGTAGATGAATCCTCCATCCAAGCTCATGGCATCAGCATCTCCTTTCTGTGAACACAAAGCAAAAGATGTAAAGAGGTTGTTTCCTGTCCATCTATCCTTCCAGCTGCTTCTCCGAAACAGCCTTAACATCACAGGTCATGTAGGCCCAGAAAGAGAGCAACTACTTAGATTGAAGCTCTCTCCCCAAGGGATCAGGCAAGCAACCCAGCCTAGAAAATGTAATTTCATTCAAACCTTCATGAACTGACAGTCAACTCTAGGTGACATACTTGGCTTATTCAAGAGCAAAGACCAACAGTATATTCAGTCTTTCTGTTGTCATAGGACCCACCGTGCCAAAGATACTCCTACAGTACCTTTCTGACACCAACACTTAATTTTTGCAAGAGAGAGAGGCAGGGTGAAGTCAGGGACTCTAGTCTGCATCTGTGCAATAGAGCTTCCCTTGATGGGGGCTCCAATCCATAAACTTCACATCATTGCCTGAGGGATATTTCAGTGCTTGCTACACAGTTGGGGTGCTCAATGAATGAATCAAATATACCCAAATGATCTCTGATTTTCAGAGATGCTTATATTCAACAAGACTGCCAAACTTTCCCTCGGACATATTAATTGACTTTCTAGGCAACACATCGTAAAGGAATAATTAAATATGTTGACAACTATTTGAGCCAAATATATAAGTGGGCAAAAATGTACAAGAATAATTTGTAATAGCAAAAAGATAGAATCAAATAATGGAGAAATGGCTAAATTGCAGAACCTCTACACTATGGAAGAGACGGCAACATTAAAAGATTATGTTTTCTAAGGATGCTTTATGACCTGGTTAAGCTGACTAGATAACGTCTGTATGATGTGATCCCAGTGAACAGGGTAAGATGACAGTAATTTTAATTTTCTTCTTTATATCATTTAGGATTTCCAAATTTCTCCAAAAGCAAACATGGAATACTCTTTTGAGCAACACAACAAAACTTTTAGCTGCTTTCAGAATCAACATGGATCCTTATCACTCTGTCAAAGCTGCCTCTCAGGCACACCCACATCCTGGTCCAGCCTCTCCAAAGCAGAACACTGCTCAGGTTGCCCTCCCATCTTATGCTAATACAGGAGGGAAAGAAGCCCACGTGCTCAAAGGTTCTAAGCCCGCCTGTGGGGCTGTGCTAACACAGGGTCTGCCCATCACGACTGAGGGCCAGGTTCCTGGGAACCAGGGTTTCTACGTCATTTCCTGGAACACTCACTGAACCTTAAGGCAAGCAGGCAGCAGTGGCAGGGATGCCACCCAGGAGAGACATACCACGATCTTGGCAATGCAGTCTTCAGTGCTCTCTGCTAACTCACAGTCTACTTTCCCATCACTGATAACACTCCATTCATCACACTTGTTACTCTCGCGGTGGCTCACTGCACACCACTTCACCTTGCTGCATTCATGCTTATGGCCTATGGCATAAGGAAGAGACCCAGAGATCAGAAAAGGCCCCACAAGTTCTTGGCAGTTATTAATATTACTGGCTTCAAGCCAATACTAGATTTCCAACCATAAACAAATAGATTTCATTTGAGGAATTAATCATCTGAGTACAGATCAAGACGCAATCTCTTGAAAATGTCATCAATGTCTCTAAGCTGTAAATGTGGAAGTTGTTATGTTGGTGAACGTCTTGTTATGTATGTTTTCACCACAATAAAAGTAAAAAAAAAAAAAAAAAAAGGAAGAAGACAATCTCTTGGCTGCTTCTTATCATTTAGATTTAGCTTAAAATTATTTCTTCTGAGAAGTCAATTTTCCTCCCCAATCTGTGGGCACTCTATCACTTCAGGCTGCTGTTGTTTTTTGTTTTTCTCTTCTTTTTAAACTAGCACTTAACCACCTGCTCTCAAGGGCCCTATCTGTCTTATCCATCCCTGCCTCCTCCTCACTTAGGCAGTGCCTCCCATATCATCAGCTTAACAAATATCTGTGGACTTAATGAACACCTACTCATTGTTCAGACTCAATTCAAGAGTCACTTCTTCAGGGAACCTTTACCTGAACCCCTAGTGCAGAACTGGTCTGTCTTTGTTTTGCATTTTCATGTTGTTGTTGTTGTTGTTATGTGCCGTGGAGTTGGACCCAACTCATAGCGACCCCTCTTTGGGTTTCTGAGGCAGTATCACTACGGAAGTAGATTGCCCAACCTTCCTTCTGAGGAGCAGCTGGTGGGTTTGAACCGCCAGCCTTCTGGTTAGCAGTTGAGTCCCTTAGGCACTGCACCACCAGGATCACAATATTTGTTTTGTTTCCTTCTTCTGAGCAGATCTTTCCTTTGTAATTGGTCACTTAATAGTATGACTATTCAGTAAACATTTGTCTTCCCCACTAGTCTGAAGATTGCATTCTGGCAAATATATGATTTTCTCGCCATTGTAAGCTCAGCCGCTAGCACAGTTTATGACTTTTGTCAGTCGCCATGACAGCCACATGTGTGCAGAGTGGAACTGCTCCGTAGGGTTTTCAAGGCTGTGACCTTTCAGAAGCAGATCACCAGGCCTGTGTTCTGAGGCAGGTGGGTTCGAACTGCTAACCTTTTGGCTGTTAACAATTTGCACCACCCAAGGAACAAATGTTCAAAAAATATCCATTGAATGAATTAACAATCAAGCAAACCCCCAGTGACCAAAGAAATTCAGAAATGGAATCAGCCTTCCTCTCTGTGGTACAGACTGGCTATAGTACTTGCTAGAGATGCATAAGTGTGTAATAATTTAATTCAGTTTTTACTTATATCATGCAAGGCTGATAGATTTCGTGACGTGAGCAGGAAACAGGATGACCCTGATTTATAACAAGGGACACAGTGCTAATCTGAATCCAATTCATTTTGAATGTGAATTTCCTCTGTTAAGGACCATGCCCATCTCTGAATAACTAATTCCATTTAGCATCAGTCTATTACTGGTCTGCACAGGCAAGGCAGATGAAGGTGTGTCAAGTAAGCATTCAGAAGCCTAGAAAGATTCTATCACTGGTCCCCATCCCCACCAGGTTTCCCAACGTCCTGTGGTCACCAAGTCCTTCCTGAGTACTTACATTTGCCTTCCTTTAGATTGCGAAGAGCGGAGACATAGTTATATCCCAGATACAGCCAGGCATCCATCCCAGAGGGGACCTTTAGAAACCCTTCAGCAGAGTCCTTAAATAGCAGGTTCTTCCCGTGAGGGGAGCTGAAGACTTGGAATGTCCCTGACTTGTCTTTGCCAAATTGTTCCTGTTTACAGTAAAACCAAATAGTGAATAGCAACAGTGAACAAGGGAGGCTGAAAAAATGGTACTAAACAGAAAAGAACAACCCCAGAAAACAAAATTAAAAACCATGAAACTTTTTTAAGGTGCCAGGAAAGAAGGCAGCCAGCCTGCTCTTGCCCACACAGGCCCTTCTCCATTCCCAGCCCTCCTAGACCCATGCCACATCCTATTTCCCTAAATGAGTTTCGGTGCCTGTCTCTGTATACTGAGTTGAGAGTGCCTGGAGATCAAGACTTGTGTCTCATTCAGAGGCTGGCACTGCATGGTTGCCATTTCAGCTCTTGATGGACAGATAGGAGGGCTGCTCAAGAGGGTGTTGGCTCAGTTCTGGCCGTCCATTGCTCTAGGGGAGTAAAGCATACTGAGTTTTACAGCTCCCGTGGCAGTCAGGCTGAGGGAAATCATTTTGGAAGGCTTCATGGGGGAGGGAGTGTTTGCATTTGGCCTTGAAGAGCTGGTTTAGATGGAAGGGAATGGAAGAGAGTGATACAGATCTTCTTCAGACATCACTAGTCTAAGAAGTAGGGGCCTGGCTGATGGTAATGCAGGGCAGGGCTTTCTGTTGCTCTGTACTTTTAGAGAAACAGGTGATATGACATGATTCTTTCTGTGTCCTGAACATAGAAGGACTTCTAGAACAGCGAGAAGGCAAGAAAGGAAAACTCCCAAATCCAAGTAAGGTCCACAAAGCAGGAGGGGAGGAAGGCAGATGGGTAGGTGGGGATACCTGTGCCTTATTGAGAAGATCCCAGATCAAGTCCTCTTTGCCATCCACACTTCGGGCCACAACAGCATGAGAAGGGATCCAGGCCAGGCTGCAATCCTTGTATTCATCTATGGGCTTCCGGGTATTGTCTGGGCAGAGCAGCTCATACCGATCTCTGTCAGCCTTTTCTGGCAGGTTCTCTGAGGGAGGAAAAGCCAGGTGAGCTTCTCTGCAGGCAGAAGTCATGAATTGTGGTGCTTCCACTGCAGTCCTGCAATTCCCATTGAATCATAGGATTTGTGAGCTAGGGGGTGCCCAGAGTGATCATTGAGGGCCAGAGAACATAGAAGGAAATTGACTGGCTCAAGACCTACGGCCAGTTAAAGGCATAGGAGTTGATGGCAAGGAGGGCTCTGATGCCCAGTGCAGTGTACAGCCCCACATCCCATCCCTCCAATAAGTCTGATCTTGGCAAGCAGACTGGAAGGCCAAGATCAACCAGATCAACTCCAAACCCTTGGCATGGTAACAGTGCCCCTGGAAGTAGAGCCACTTGTGAAGAAGGTCAAATCATGGAAAGAGGCCCAGGAGTTCAGGGGGGAGAGTCCACAGGTGCACATCTCTGAGTAGGAAAGAAACCCAACTGATGACAAAAGAGGAGCACTATCTATTCATGTCTGACTATTGAGCATGCAAAACAGGGCAACAGAAGAGACTTGAAGGAGACATGCAGCATTCTTCTCCCATCACTTACCAAGTATTGTCTCGTACTTGACAAAGGCCACATCTCCAACATTCTCCTGCAGACACCTGTGTGAAGAAACACACTAGGAGGACTCCTGCAGGGCAGGATCACACAGTCCAGCCCTGGGGCAAGGGCTTCCGTTTCTAGGCAGAGCTGGGGGAAGCCTATGTGCAGCCCCCTCATTCACAGAGTAAGACCAGCACTTTGCGACACTGACACCAAAGTAGGGAGACGAACTCACTAGCTGGAGGCTCCTCATCTTGTGTCCCCAAACAGCAAAAAGCAATTGAAAATATTTTGATACTGAACAGATTTAAGGTTCTGCCATGGAAAACAAAGGCATCACCTCTCCTGAGGGTGGGAATGTGCCCTTGGCTGATTTCTAGTCTATAAAACTTTAGGATATAACTAATGGAAAAAGAGGAAGGAAGAAATCAGCCATGTGAGCTGTCTATATAGCAGCCATAAGGGGAGGCAGGAGAGAGGCCAGAGCATTGAGCAGGAGGCACTGCCACAGTAGAAACATAGGGTCAGTCGATAAAGAATGGGCTTGGACACTAGAGACATGCTTGTCCTTCCAGGCTCAGGGGCTCTGGGCAAAGAGAAAGGGCCCCAGCAGAGGGGCTTGCTTGTCACACTAGTGAGGCAGTGGGCCTGGGTGTAAGCCTAACATGTCTGGAGGCAGGATGAAGGGGAACAACCACTGGCCAGGTCTCAGAAATGCCCAGCTGTACCATTTACTCCCTGTGAGGGTATTAGGTCTCCTCAATGCCCCTGTTGACAGACTGGACATTGGTTTGGGCCACAGAGGGTCTCTCAGCCTGAGGCCATGTGACACTTGGGCCACCACGGAGCAGCAGACAGTCTCACTCACTTGAGAGCACCTGAGTAGCCGAAGAAGCGTTCATGGGAGTTGCAGGCACACTTCTCTGGCCCGGCACACAGTTGACACAGCTTGGGGAACTTAGTCCGATCCGCACAAGGGACACAGCTGCTGGAGAAGAAATTGGCCACTGCTGCTCAACACAGAGAAATGGACATCAGGGCATGAGCCAGCCTTGCCACAGGCAATTATATTTCCCATCCTCGGTTATTAGGGGACAGAGACTGACCAAAACAAAACCATCAAACTCAGTCCCAGCTATGCTTTACCTGTATTAACTCACCAAAATCAAGGGTTCCCAAACAGGAACAAGTCAGTCCCTTCTCTCCCTCCTCCCCAAGAAACAGGCCTGTGCTTCCACACACCCAGGCCTGTCTCAGCTGGCTGTAAGGCCACCCATCTCCCTGCCTTGTAAGAGCCATTCCCAAGGGGTGGGAGAACTGGCCTAGAGAGGTGCAGGCCAAGGGTATAGCCACAAGATGGTCACCAGAGAAGCCTCTAGCAGAATGTGATACTCATCAGCTACAGGCAGGAAAGGACTCCAGGGAAATACACAACAGGGCCCAGCAACAATGGCCCAAACTGAAACTCTCTGTGGGGCCCAATGCCTTTCCTCCCCATCCCACATGACTGCCTCTGGAAGGGTGTGGGGAGTGTGGAGAAGAAAAAATTCAGCTGCCACCTTCCAAGAGTTGCTGGTGCAGCAGACCCCACCAGTTAAAAGCTGCTTAACGTCCCTCTCCCCACATCCCACCTCCAGGCTTCATCACACATGTTCACCTGATAGGGAGTATGTGACTCCAAAGTCACCTGTGTATGCAATTGGATTAGAGATGCCTGTCTGAGGGCACCTACCCTCCTGCCAACTTACCATTCTCAACTGGCACACGTGGCTCCGGCAAGTTACAAAGAAGCCTGCCGATGGGGACATTCCACCCAGCAGACCTGCCTAGGCCCGTGTGGCAGGACTTCCTGCCTTGCAGCTGGTTCCACTGGAAGTTGCTGTCTTTCAACACCACAGCCACGGCATGATATCCAGTTTTTGGATCTGCAAAGGGACAGAGTAAATGAAAGACCCTCAACCTGAGCCATGGGGAAATATTGATCATCACTACTAAATTCCTGAGTTGGGAAGGGAAACCCAGAGGTGATGTTTATATTGAGGTGGATTGTAAGGAGGCATGGACAGGAATCAGAAAAAACCTTCCTAGGTCACAGCAGGAACATTTGTAATAACCTCCAGGCAAGCATAGAGTCCAGAAGGCCACATATACATGTGCTTACCCTGACCCTGCAGTGTATCTGCCTACCTACCAATCGAAGTCCACTAGGAAACTGGGGATGAGGCAACAGACACTCACATTTCTTGACTCTCTGCAATTGTTTTCTGTCTCTTGCAACAGGTCCAGAAGTATTGGGCTGGTCTCAGAAGAGTTGCAAGACTATTGGAGCTCCTAGTGTGTGCTCCAGAGTGGCCTCTGCCCTGTGTATGGTACCAATGGTCCTGGAGGCTTCAAAACCCTGGACACATCACTGACTCCCCCTGGTCTATGTGTCTGACTGCACATAGTCTGCTTTGTTTCTCCAGTGAACATATTTCTATGTTCTATGAGGGAAGTACCATCCCTCAACCAGCCCAAAGTACCACAAAAGCCTTGATTTATGCATGCAGAGGCCACCAGGCCCCTTGTTCCCCACAAACTCCACTGAGAGGAGTGTTCATCAGTATTGAATCTCCATTACTTGCCAGAAAAGGACAAAACTGAGCATCTACCAGGGAGAACTTACTGTCTTTTGACCCATGGAACTCTGCCACAACAGGTTTCAGGTTGTTGGGGGCCAGGCCTGCCTCATACACCCAGCCTGCATCAAGAGTCACAGCATCTGCTCGTTTATCCTGAAAGAGGACAGACCAGACCAGCATGAGGCCCTTGCTTCCAAGGACCAAATCAAAAAGTTAAAACCATTGCCATTGAGTTGTTTCTGACTCATGGTGATTCCATGTGTTACAGAGTAGACTGCTCCCTAGAGTTTTCTTTTCTTCTTTTTTTTTTTGGAAGATGGGACAATCTACTTCCACACTTCCATAAAGATTTACCACCTTGGAAACCAATAGGGGTCACTATGAGTCAGAATTGTCCACACAGTTTTTTTGACCTTAATCTTTATGGAATCAGGTTGCCAGGTCTTTCTTCCAGAGTGCCATTGGATAGATTCAAAGCACCAACCTTTAGATTAGCAGCTAAGCACAAAAGATCATCTAAACCCAGGCAAATGGGGATGAGTGACGGGACCAGAAGAACCTTCAACTTGGCCATCCTATGTGTGACACTGCCTGCTTCAGCTGACCCAACCTTCAAGAGGACCCTTAACCACCATATTCCTATTCTTCCTGCATAGAGGAAGGTTGGGTTCTTTTTTTCTTTTCCCTGGTAATTCCAAATAAATATTAATTCAAATAAATAATTTCCCATTTGTGTTCTTTTTATTCATTTATATTTAAAAGAGTTTTGTTATTTTTGAAAGCTGCGAGTCAGAATTGACTCGATGGCAGTGGGTTTGTTTTTTTAGTAATGCTGCGATATTGAATGATATTACCTCACCAGATATTCATTTTTGCCTAGTTGGTACTGAAGTGTATTTTTGTAAGATCTCATTTATTTTATATGATATAAAACTTTCCATTTCTAAAAATGTTATTATTTAAGTAGATCTATAATTTTCATTATTCTATGGATATCTATATCCATTACATTATAGATAGGTTTGCATATATAAACCAAAACCAAACACATTGCCGTTGAGTCAGATCCAACTCATAGCAACCCCTCCTTGGGTTTCCAAGGTGGTATCACTACAGGAAAAAATTGCCCAATCTTTCTTCCGAGGAGTGGCTGGTGGGTTTGAACCTCCAGCCTTCTGGTTAGCAGTCAGATGCCTTAAGGACTACACCACCAGAGCCTATAATATTCTAGAAATTTTAAACCATTGTGGTTGCTCCTAATTGTTTTGCTATAATTTATATCACTCTAATGAACATCTTTTGAGGAATTATGGTGGCACAGTGATCAAGGCATTCTGCTGCTAACCAAAAGGTCAGTAGTTCGAACCCGTCCACTGCTCTGTGGGAGAAAGATGAGGCAGTCTGCTTCTGTAAAGACTTACAGTCTTGGAAACCCTAAGGGGCAGTTCTACTCTGTCCTAGAAGGGTCGCTATGAGTCAGAATTGACTCAATGGCAGTGGGTTCTGTTTTTTTGTGTGTGAGGGAATGAACATCTTTAAGGAATCCTGGCGGCACAATGGTTAAGCACTTGACTGCTAACCAAAAGGTCAGTGGTTTGAACGGAGCAGTGGCTCCATGGGAGAAAATACCTGGCAATCTACTCTCATAAAGATTAAGCCTATAGAAACCCTATGGGCAGTTCTACTCTGTCATACAAGGTTGCTGTAAGTCAGAATCAACTCAGTGGCACACAACAAAAACAATGATGAGTATCATTGACCTTATATTCACTTCTGATTAATTGTTCTCTTGAGATAACATCATAAGAGTAGAAAAAGAGTATTAACGGGTACATCTTAATGGCATTTACTGCTTATTTTACTATATCATATTTTCTTTATTTGTATTATTAAGTGCAATCTGACATGAAGACCTTTGGAATTCAGTGATGTGTCCAGGATCCTTAAAAATTATACAGCGATTTAAAATAATAATAACATTTGTAGAAATGGAAAAGTTCATATAAGTACCAGCTATGCAAAAGTGAACATAGTTATATGGTGAGATGGCATTATAGACTTATTTTTATTATATTTCAAAACCTTTCAAAATGTTGTATTTTCAATTCAATTACAGTTATTAAGGAAGAAGGAAAATTTCCTTGTTATTATAATTTCTTTGTATGAATAATATGTTCATGGTATTTTTCTTATGCATTTCCTATTAAGCTGAATGATTTCTTTTTTAAAGCACATAAGTATTAATATTTTCTCATTATTTGAAAATATATTTTAGTCTGCTGATTTCTAATTCATTTTACCTTTTTAACTATTTTACTTTCATTTATTTAAATTCTTTTAAAATTATTCCTTTGTGATGATGTATCCTGTTACTTTACTGTTGCTGTCTTCATTCTTCCACATATCTGATGATCTATTTCATTTATCCTAATGTCTTAATAATATCATTTTATGCTTAATTATTGATTCTACCCAGAATTTATGTTAATATATGATACAAAGTATTGCTTTAAAATTCTTTCTGGAACATAAAGGTAATCGTTAGAACTTCAACAGCAATCTTGTGACAATGAGGCAATCTTAAAAATGGAAAGCCAGGATTAAGGATACCACAATAGTATAAGAAGGCTGGAAAATATATTATCACATAGATACAACAATGGAAATGGACTTTTTGTTAGTTAGTTTACTGATTAACAGGTGCTCAATGGGCATAGACTCATCTAGATAAGGTTGCCAGCTAAAATAATTAATAATTTTTTTTGTATAAGTATGTCCTAAATAATGCATGGAATAAATACTAAAAATATTTTGGTTGTTTATCTGAACTTCTGATTCAACTGAGTTTCCTTATATTTTTATTTATTAAACCTGGCATCTGTGGAACTTATTCTAATTCTAATTCTAATTCTAATTCAATAGATGTAGATTAGGAGGACCCTGATTATTCTGAAGTATGTCATCTGTGGAAAATATTTAGAACAAAATCTATGTCACCCACCCTCAGGAATCACCTTTCAGCCAAACAACAGGCCTATAAAGTGAACAATCACATCCAAGAGGAATGTACTCCTCAGAATGGTCGATCATATGAGACCAAAAAGACAGCATTTGCGCAAAAAATAAAGGTCAGATGGCAAGAGGGGGCAGAAAAGAGGGACGGCTGGAAATGCGGATCCCAGAGTGGAAGTGGGAAGAGTGCTGTTACATTCAGGGCATTGCAAGTAATGTCACAAAATAAAATGTGTATAAATTGTTGAATGGAAAGTAACGTGCTCTGTAAACTTTCACCCAAACCACAATAAAAATAAATAAAATAAAAGATCACAGATAAAGGCAATTCTGTAATCAGGAAAAAAAAAAAAGCATAAATGCATTCTTTTCCTTCTTTTCTTTATTGGTTTAAAAAGTAATTACCCTAAAAAAGAAAACTTACGTCAGTGTTTCTCAGGTTTATATAATTCTTAGAAAGCCTGAGTACATCTGGGATTTGAATCCAGGCCATCTGAGTTAATTTCTTGTCACTAACTTACTGGTTATATTATTTTGATTTTATGATTCTATGAACCCTCACCTCTGAGTCAATGAGTCACTTGAAATATTATAACTGCCTTCCCATTAGGTCTGGAATTTCTTTTCTCTTTATATGAATTCTTAAAGAGATCAACATTTCCTTTTATATATACACTTTTAAACATATTTTTATATGTTTAAAATATATAAACTCAGAGACTCACAGAATACATTTTTGATGACTGATACATCTATTTTCAGTATTATAAATGAGTAGGAGATATGAAGGACCTTTCTATTTATGACAACTAACCCAAGATACAAGGAGCTCTGGTAGCATAGTGCCTAGAGCATTTGACTGCTAACCAGAAGGCTGGTGGTTCGAACACACCAGCTACTCCTCGGAAGGAAGATGGGGCTATCTACTTCCGTAGTGATACTGCCTCGGAAACCCAAGGAGGGGTCTCTATGAGTCGGCTCTGACTCGACGGCACATAACAACAACAACAACCCAGGATACTATCTTTGTGGCTTTACTGGTCTCACAAAACATAGGAAAAACCATCAAAGACTTTCTACACAACACACATACACACACCACAAAATAAAAACAAACATGAGCTTTGCCCGTAACAGTGAGGCTAGAGAGAGTAGTTAGGAGCCTAGGCTCTCTTGCCCAAGGTGCCATAGCCTGGGCAGAAATACCCTGGGCCTCAAGGCCTCAGAAAGATAAGTAGCCAAGGTCTGAAACAGGAGGTCCAGGGCTGGAACAAAAGGAATCCAAAGGAGAAAGTCAACCAGTAGGGAGGGGGAAAATTAAAACCAAGCATGACCTCCTAGGTAAACATATCCAAACTCAGAAGAAAGTAAGTCACAATGAGTGGGTATCAACATAAGCAACATGTCTAGGCCCCAAGGATTTTGGAAGCTGGAACTGTCAGATGCAATAGATGACAACTATGTATGAAATGTTTATTGTCATGTATGAAATAAAGGCTGCAATTTCAGAAATGAGCATAAAACAAAAAACTATCAGAAAGAAATAGAAAAACTTTTAAAAACGGAAGTTTTGGAAATGGAAATTTTAACTGTTGAAATGAAAAATCAATAGATGTCCCTAAAGACTTGAAAGCAGAGACTCAAAAGATACTTGTGAACTAGTGTTTATTACAGCACTATTCACAATAGCCAAAAGGTGAAAACAATCTAAATGCCAATCAACAGATGAACAGATAAGCTAAATGTGGTACATACGTACAATGGAATACTACTCAGCCAGGAGAAGACACAAAGTTTTGATACATGCTACAATATAGATAGGGCTTGAAGACTATGCTGAGTGAAATTGGTCAGTCACAAAAGAACAAATATTTTATGGCCTCACATAAGAAGATAAGGCAAAGGTATAGAGATCAAAGTTTATTAGTGGTTATTAGGGGTAGGAAGAAGGAAAAAAGAAGGGTTAATGGTGATGCAAAAATCACATTGATTAAGGGCAAGTTTGCACAGCTGATGAATGTAATCGTAATTGGTTTCAAAAGGAATTGATAAATATATTTACAAATACCACCACCACCACAACAACAACAAAAGATAACTGGTGAGGCTGCTTATGCATGACCAAAAACCTCATGGGATTT